AGAAAGAAATTACATTTATAGTATTCAAAAGTTCTGAGTGTAAGTAGACCTGTGCAGTTCAAATTCATGTTTTTCAAGGGTCAACTGTATATATACTAAACTGGTAACAGTAGTTACTGCTAGTAAGTGGAAGAGGTGAACTTTTAGTATTCAACTTATATTCTTTTGTATTTTTACAACAAGCATATATTTAATTATTTTAAACCTGAAATTTATCTGAGGGAGAAAAAAAGCAAAGCCCTGGGAGACAACCTTTACCCCCAAAACCTTGGTTCAATTTCTTCTCTCTCATCTTGGCCTGTACAGTTTACCACAAATAAGCACTATAGGCACAATTTATTTTATTATTGGGAGAAGTTTCACAAATTTAGTTCCTGGTTTCTATTTAGCTTGTCAGAAAATTAAAGTTCTGCCCAATGTTATTACACAGTTTTAAAATACCAAGTGGTGGTTTCTGGGTAAAACATGGTTAATTGAACATTCATTAAGTACCAACTGAGTGCCAAACACTGGGGAATTCAAACATGTTAGCCCCTCAACTTTTCTAGCTGTTTGTTTGTTCCCTCCTGCTCCTTTGCTTTATCACCCCATCCCCACCCCTAGTGGTTGCATTCATTACTTTCTAATGCTCATCTACATTTGAAAGTCAATTCCTTACACTTATTGCAATTTAGACTCCATATATGAATTTTCAAAAAGCAACTTCTTGCCTTCTGCATGACAATATTCCCCCCAAATTGACATCGCTTTTCACATCTACTTTTATAAATAACAGGGATAAGAGATGATTTAGCAATGGAAAATTGAAAATAGCAAAGGTGGGGGTATATAGTGTTCATGTTTGTAAAGGAAAAGGGGCATTTCTGAAAGATTTGATATTTGTGAACAAAATCATATGTCAATCGCTGTTGGGGAAAGAAAAATATGATATATCATCCTGTTCTAAAGTATATGTATAATGTATAAACATTTTTGGAATAAAAATATTTGTATCTCTCTCCAGAGAGAAAGTGGCTGGATCATATTATCTATTTGAAGTTCCAGTTCTATAGATCCGAGCATTTTCTTTAAAAAGCAATTTAAAATTTTTGATGAGAAAATGTTTAGACTGAGATTTATATTATATACATATGTGTATGATCAGTATTTCTAAAACTGCATTCTTCAGTATGTCATGCCGTTTGCTTCATAAATCTGTGAAACACAACTTCAAATTAAAGTTTTATTTGAGGTCATTAAAATATGAAGGGGATAGAGTAATCCTTGCTATTTGTTCTTGTTGTATTATGTTACATATTATATTACATTATATTATTAGAAAGTAATTTGTATGAGAGTCTTCATGATTTAAAAAATATATATTTTTATTGGGGAATTGGGGGATGGGAACAGCGCTGGGGAATTATTGGGGGAAGGGGAACAGACAAGTTGCTGTCCTTTTGTTCTTCAGTCTAGTTGTGGAGGACATTGCTTCACTGGCCCAAGTTGGTACCATCATTGCGCACTTCCTGGGCGAGGCAGATCAGTCGCTGGCTTCTGGACGGCTGCTCACGGCGGCTGCTGGCCGCTCATGCTGGCTGCTGGCTACACATAGTAGCCCATGGCAACCCACTGCAGCAGGGGCTGCAGCCTACACCATAGCTGGTGACTCAAGGCAGCCCAGCTCCAGGTTGAGCTGTTGTTCAGCATCTTAGCTGTAGAGGGCAGTGTCACTGGCCCTCATATGTGGGATCTGAACTGGGGCCCTCTGGCATCCCAATCCTGCTCTTAACCAATGTGCTACTCAGCTGGCCCTCTTCATGATTTTTTATAACAATACATTTCCATTTTTGAAACTGCAGACACAATATTGCCAAAATCTTCATTTTATGCCAGATTATTAAATTGTGTGTTATCTCTTTTTTGTGCATTTAACAGACTATTATAAACTTAAAATGTTTCATTCTCCCCAGGGTAGACCAAAGGAACAGCTACCTATTTGTTTTGTGGGAGCTAGCCTATTCTCCACTAGACTTTAGACATTTGGTGACAATTATGTCTCATGTTGGGGCTCCCTGGACTCCTTTTTCCAAAGATAATTAAATTCCAAGCTTGAAACTTGAAAGATGATTAATTAAACAGCAAAAAATGTACAAAGTACAAGGAAGGATATTTAAGACACAACCCTTAATTCTCAAAGAGATGTAACAATTTACTTGCTAGAAAGGAACTCCTATCGTGCAGCCAACACAAATGTTCTACCTTTCTTCCTGAAAACAAACAAACAAACAAATGAACAAACACAGGGTGTCTCAGTAAAGCTCTATAAAAGGACTATTAATATATGGAAAAGAATGTTAGTCTAACACTCTGTGAGGTGTGATCAAACAATACTGTGAATGTTTAAATAAAATATTATTACAGTAAAAGATGCATTGCCATTAATCCCCCTCAAAATACTCCTCCTCACTTCGAACACACTTATTGCATCCTTCTTTCCACTTTCTGAAGCAGTTCTGGAAGTCCTCTTTCATGAGTGTCTTTAGTTGTGCTGTCTTGGCTGCCTCAATGTCCTGAATCGCTTCAAAACATTTACTTTCATGGTCATTTTGACTTTAAGGAAAAGCCAGAAGTCACGTGGTGCAAGATCTGATGACTAAAGTAGATGAGGACACACCGTAATGTTTTGATTTGACAGAAATTGCCATACCAGAAGTGATGTGTGACACGGAGCCTTTCTGTCGTGATCAACAAATATGGTGAATGCTGCTGCCAAGTGCCACCCAACAGAAAGGCAGTGATCTTCAATATGGGATGTGGCAGGTTGCATCTTAGTAACAGTGTGTGACAAGTTTCAGCTTGTTTAGTGCAGTCAGTCGGGTGTGAGCTATGATTCACAGAAGGTGTGCTTTAAAGTGTGCCATAAATCATCCGCCATCATAACACTTAGTATCACACATCCCTTCTGGTATATGGCAATTTCTTTGAAATAAAAATATTACGGTGTGTCCTCATTCACCATTTTCACCAGATCTGGCACTGTGTGACTTCTGGCTCTTCCCCAAAGTCAAAATGACCATGAAAGTAAACATTTTAAATCAATTCAGGATATTGAGGCAGCCACAACAGCACAACTAAAGACTGTCATGAAAGAAGACTTCCAGAACTGCTTCAAAAAGTGGCAAGAACAATGGGATAAGTGTGTTTGAAGCAAGGGAGATTAACAACAATGTGTCTTTTATACTGTAATAATCCTTTTTTAAAAGATTTTATTGAGGAACTGGGGAAGGGGAACTGTGTTGGTGAATTGGAGAAGCGGAACAGCCAAATTGTTGTCCTTCAATCTTAGTTGTGGAGTGTGCAGCTAGCTCAGCTCCAAGTCCAGTAGCCATCAGGCCTCCTGTCAGCAGCTCACGGCCACTCAGCTCAAGGTGCTTGAGTTTTGGGGGGAGCATAGCCCACCATCCCATGTGGGAGTCGAACTCGAAACCTTGTTGCGAAGAGTGCACGCTCTAACCACTGTGCTATCCGGCTGTCCCTTGGCAGGTCAGGGCAGCACAGCTCGAGGTGTGGTGCTCAATCTTAGTTGTGGGTGGGACTCTAACTGGCAACCTTGTTGTTAGGAGTATGTGCTCTCACCAGCTGAGCCAACCTGCCACCTGTTGGCAGCTCAGTGGCAGCTCAGCCTGTGCACAGCTCAGTGGCCCACATGGGAATCGAACCAGTGACCCTGTTGCTCAGAGCTCGTGCTTTTAACCAACTGAGCCACTCGGCTGGCCCACTGTAATAATCTTTTTAAATTTAAACATTCACTGCATTTTTTATCATATCTCTTAATTCTGCACATAGGAAAATGAAAGTGCACATGGTAACTTTTCCAAAATAAGGTAAAAGCCAGTCGTTGTATACAAAAGTGAATGCATATACTCTCTCCTTATTTTTAAGACTAATCTAACTTAGTCTTAATTATTTTCCTACAGTAAATTAAACACACATTGTCAAATATTGAATATAGTGTTCAGTTTTTTTCTTCTTCTTCTTCTGAGTAATTATTCCATTGGCTTTATTTTCCAAATACTGTATTTTGCCATGTATAATGTGCTCTCATGTAGAATGTGCACCCACCTTTTTGGCCCAAACTTTCAGGGAAAAATCTTTTCATTTTAATTTTTTAATTCCAGGTTTTATTTGTTTACATTTAGGAACTTCCTTTTTGTATTATAAATGAACTTTAGCATTTATTTTTTAACATATTATGGTACAAGAAATTGTATGTAATGAGTAATTACAAAACACAAGAACAGATATAAAGTACAAGAAATTTTATGTACCAGTAACACATTTACGATATTACACATCATGGAAGGCCAAGAACTCTTCATCGTTGTAAGTTTGTCATAAGTTCAACAAAAACAATTATCATATTCCAGGGTATTATTTTGCATACAGATATCATTATTGATTTCTAGAGTAACACTTTATTTATTTATTTATTTTTATTATTATTATTTTTTAATTATTATTTTTTATTGTTAAATACACATTTTTTAGAATTAGTTTCAGCTGTAAAACACAGTGCAATAGTTATACTTTTTACCCCTCGAAGTGAGAGTCCCCGCCCCCAATCTGCTGCCCCACTCCCCCCAATATCATACATATCTATTACAATTCCCTTGACTCCACTCCCACACTATACTCCACGTCCCATGACTATATATATATATTATATATATATATATATATAACATATATATATATATCACTTATAGTTGATAGAGTTACACTTTTAACTCATAAGCGTGAAGAATTAAAAACATTTATATAAATACGGAATTAGTACTACCCATGTATAATGCATATCCTTATTTTTCCCTCACAAATTTGGGCAAAAAGTTGTGCATTATACATGGCAACATACAGTATGTTTCACACACATTAATATGTAAACAGAATTTTAGTGCACAGAGATTTATATACCCATTTTGTCTTGATTAGTGGTGCAACTCATGTTCTTCTCCTAGGGCTTTGACCAGCTTCGACTTGAAGGCTTGCTTTGTGATGTGACCCTGATGCCAGGTGACACAGAAGATGCCTTCCCTGTGCATAGAGTCATGATGGCCTCTGCTAGTGATTACTTCAAAGCTATGTTCACAGGTAGGTTGCCTTTTAAACTCTGCATCCACGTTTAAACAATATGAAAAGTACATGTTTAATCTTTTTATTTCTAAAGTGAATTCATTTCTTCTTGTCTCTGTCTTTACAAGAAGAAACAGTTTCAAAAGGAATATACACCCAGTAAGTGTGGTTGTGGGTGGTGCTTTTTTAACTTGGGAAATGGATGTACCTTTTTCATATTTCCACCCTCCTTTATTTCACAACTTTTCTTTTCTCAATACATATCTGCATGGGCCGTCAGAGACTCTGGGTCCCACTACTACAATCTTTAATTCATCAAAAGACATTAAGTGACAGGAGAATATTTTGGAAGCACTTGCATCATATAGTCCTCCATTAGTATAGAGATATTCCTTTTTAAGTATTCTCATTTAATTGTAAAATATGCAGAAGCCTGACTCTAACATGAATGCTTACACGGAATAAAAGTTATCCTTCGTTTTATTGTATCTAATTAGCAGCAGAATCGAGTTTGACCTTAATTAAATTATCTGCCTTCATTTAATTGAATGTCTTTTTTATTTAAGGTGGAATGAAAGAACAAGATTTAATGTGCATTAAGCTTCATGGTGTGAGCAAAGTCGGTTTAAGGAAAATTATTGATTTCATTTATACTGCAAAGCTTTCTCTTAATATGGACAACCTTCAAGACACACTGGAAGCTGCCAGTTTTCTACAGATTCTGCCGGTTTTGGACTTCTGCAAAGTATTTCTCATATCTGGGGTAAGACATTTTCAAGTCTTCAGATTTTTTCCTGCAGTAGACTCTGATGTTGCCTGTTTAGAATTGACTCATGAATCTATTGTATAGAAATGTGAAACTTTGGCCATTAGAGAGAGGTGTCTGGTCTGATAGTGTGTGGTCTGGTAGCAAGCTAAGAGGATAACAGTACAGGTGCATATTTACAAAACAGAATCATTTAAGAAAAACCTGTGTAATCAAATGACATCAGACAATAAGTGTTTGATAACTATTATAGATATACCTTCACATTTTTGATAGTATCATATATTTTAACCTGGTCTTATTCAGGTTAATGATTTTCTACAAGCAGACTTAACTGGAATTCTGTGGAAACATAATTTGAGCTTCTAGAAGTCTCAGTAATCCTTTAAATAGGCTCAGTAATCCTTTTTCTTCCTTTAAATATGAGAGCTAGGTCTTGAAAAGAACTAACACCTATGTGCAAACCTTTAATAATATAAGTTTGAGTCCATAGAAACACATCACCCACTAAATCATTTTTATCCTTCTTTAATAGATAAGAGAGAGCACATAAAGCTACCAGGTAATGACAGTGATCCACTTCCTGAAGACATTGCCTTATTTTAGTTGAGAACCTTAAATTTTTCTTCTAGGAAACGAAATGTTTTGGTTGCAAAGAAATATTGCCAAAATTTCTAGAGCTTCTAATGCTTGCTTTTGTGATTGAAAATTGTGACAGTAGTAAATTTTGATATATTTTCTAATTCATTACATTAATGGATAAAACATTTTTCTATAATTTGCTTTAACACATACCAATTTTAATATTGGTACGTAATTGCTCTTGAGCCTTTTAAGTTGCATTTGCTAAACATGGAGCCTTGTCTTTAAAACCCTAAGTTTCAAGAGAACATATCCTTAATGATTTGATTAATAAGCTACTCCTTATCTTATAAAGTCAGTCAACAGTTAATTTCACTGGACTATTGAAAGTGTGTTTTGTTTGCTTATTTCAATTTTAAAGTACTCAGACGACTGTCTCCTTATTACTTACAAACTTTTAAACTAACTGCTGTTTTTAAAGGTCTTATGGCAGCATGGTGTTATAGTGTTGACTCTTATTGTCTTCTCCATTGCACAAGTAGCCCAAGTGAAGTTTATGTCCCATGATACTGCTTGCTGTCATTATTGCACTAAATTTAATTTTAATTTAATCTTTTGACATTCAGTATTATTTTATATTAATTTCAGGTGTACAGCATAGTTGTTAGACATTTATAATTTAAGAAGTGATCCCCCTGACTAGAGCACTAAATTTAATTTTAATTTCATCATACAAGGTCCTTCCCCTCAAGAGCTATAAGTATCTTTCCTCTAGTTTTGTGCCATTGATATCATATAACAACTTCATTTTAAAAAATTAAATGTATTGAATGTTTTTTAAAATTTTATTTTATTACATTAAATTTTTATTAAATTAATAAATAAATTTTATTAATTAGTGTATAATTAACTCAGTAATAACGATGCTTACATATATAGACTCAACATTGCTTTTCACTGATCCTAACAACATATGGTCATCCTGAGCCAAACTAGGGACAGTGTCGTGATTTATTTGGAATGTATCATTAACAAGTGACTTTACTAACCTATGCTCTATTACAAAAGTTTATTTCTTACAACTGTAGATATTGGTTGTGGTCAGTTCCTTGAAAGAAAAGGACCAAACTAGATAAAGCACAATTTATGAAAAGTTATAAAAGTATACAATTGTCAAAATAACTGTATTAGAAAATAATTTTGTTCTAGATAACTTGATATAAGCAAGTTTATTTAAAGCTGATATTACAGTCATTTTCCAGTTTGGACAAATTTCCTGTAATGAGAATTGGTTCCTTAATCTATTTGAAATATTTATTGTAACTCAATTTTTACCCATTTGGAAATATCTGTGTTTTTATAAACAGTATTGTCTTAAAAATTATGTTCTTCATTTTTAGTGTCCTCTACAGACATCCCAAAACTTATTTCTAGTGGAGAAGAGGCTTGTCCCTGACAAAGCTTACTTGTGGTACAGTTTACTCCTATCTGTCTTGGTTTTAGAACTTCTTGCCTATGAGCTTTGAGGAAACATCTTTATTATGAGCACCATTCTATTTATTTTTATTGTGCTTGCAGAGAATATATCTGTGTGATTTAACTGTAGAAATATTCCCTCTTAGAATGCATGATAATTTTTGAGAATAGTTGGTAGGTTACTAGTTTAAGGATTGTTTAAAATCCAATTTTACCTTTATCTTTCTTTTATGCATTCCATTTATTAGTTAAACATGCAGCCTTATTCTATTTATTTTCCTGTTCCTTTCAGCCATCAAGTGATTCAGGAAAAAAAGTAGCCCTGGGTGCCTTTTCTACTTATAAGAACTGAAAGTTTCAAGATAATATATTTTTCAAAAGTAGATGTGTTTTTGGTTCTCTGACAAGCTAAGCTATTAAAGATAATTTTTTAAACGCATCAATCACATGGTTTAAGAATTGAGTGTTTAAACCAAACATTTTGAGGAAATAAGTTTATATTTTTAAAGATAGTATGTGATTATAGTTCACATACTGAAACACTATTTAGATTTGGGCTTTTAGAACGAAAAATTAGCTATAATACAATTCTATTCTATTCCATTTTTTCCTTTTTTTAACATCCAATATTATTTTGTATTATTTTCAGGTTTACAGCATAGTTGTTAGACATTTATATAATTTAAGAAATTATCCCCCTGACTAGTCAAGCACCCACCTGGCACTACATAGTTATTGCCATACCATTGACTATATTCCCTATGCTTTACTTTGCATTCCCCTGACTATTTCGTAACTACGAATTTCTACTTCGTATCCCCTTCACCTTTCACTTTGCTCCTCAAACCCCCTCCCATCTATCACCCTGATAAATCTAGTACCCATCTGACACTTACATTGTTATTACAAAATTATTGACTATATTCCTTGTGCTATATCCTACATCCCCATGACTAATTTGTAACAACCAATTTGTACTTCTTAATCCTTTCACTTTTTCAACCCGTGCTCCATACCACCCCCCAGCTAGCAACCATCAAAATATTCTCTGTATCTATGAGTTTGTTTCAGTTTTGTTTGTTCATTTTGTTCTTTAGATTCCACATATAAGTGAAATCACATTGCATGTCTTTCTCTGTCTGACAGTTCACTCAGCATATTACCCTCCAGATCCATCCATGCTGCTGCAGATGGCAAAAACCCTTTCCTTTCCATGGCCAAGCAATATTCCACTGTATATATGTACAACTTCCTCTTTATCCATTCATCCATGGACAGACACCCAGGTTGTCTCCACATCTTGGCCCTTGTAAACAATACTACAATGACCATATGGGTGCACATATCCCCTCAAAGTAGTGTTTTGGGTTTCTTCAGACAAATACACATAAGTGAGATTACTGGGTGCTTCTTTGTCTTTTGTTTTAAAGTCTATTTTGTCTGTGCTAAGTATTGCTACTCCAGCTTTGTTTGTTTGTTTGATTGTTTCCATTGTCATAAAATAACTTTTTCCATTCCTTTACTTTCAGTCTGTGTGTGTCTTTCAATCTGAAGTGAGTATCTTGTAGGCAGCATATATAAGGGTATTGTTTTCTTATCCATTTAGCCACCCTTTCTTTGGATTGGAGCATTTAATCCATTTACATTTAAGGTAATTGTTGATAGATATATGGTTACTAACATTTTATTATTTATATATTTTATCTTTTTTTTTCATCTTAAAGAAGTCCCTTTAAAATTCCTTGTAATACTGGCTTAGTGGTGATGAACTCCTTTAGCTTTGTCTTGTCTGGGAAGCTCTTTATATGTCCTTCAATTATAAATGATAGATAGCATTGCTGGGTAGAGTAATTTTGGTTGTAGGTCATTGCTTTTCATCACTTTGAATATTTTATACCAATCCCTTCTGGCCTGCAAAGTTTCTGTTGAGAAATCAGCTGACAGTCATATGGGAACTCCATTGTAGGCAACTAACTGCTTTTCTCTTGCTGCTTTTAAGCTTCCCTGTTTGTCTTTAATCTTTGGCATTTTAATTATTATGTGTCTTGGTGTGGGTCTCTTTGGGTTCATCTTGTTTGGGACTTTCTCTGTGCTTCTGGGGCTGTATATCTATTTCCTTTGCCAGGTTAAGGAAGTTTTTCATCATTGTTTCTTCAAATAGGTTTCCTTTTTTTTTTAAGATTTTATTGAGGAATTGGGAAAGGGGAACAGCCAAGTTGCTGTCCTTTTTGTTCTTCAGTCTAGCTGTGGAGGGCATTGCTTCACTGGCCCATGTTGGTATTATCATTGCACTCTTCCTGGCTGAGGCAGATCAGTCGCTGGCCACTGGATGGCCGCTCAGAGTGGCTCATGGCAGCTCTCCCCAGCTGCCGGCCACTCACAGTAGCTTACGGCAGCCCACTGCAGCCCACTGCAGCCTATGCCGTCACCGGCCACTCTTGGCAACCCAGCTCCAGGTCGAGCTATTGTTCACAATCTTAGCTGTAGAGGGCGCATCATCACTGGCCCATGTGGGAATCAAACCAGCGGCACTGTTGCTCAGAGATTGCACTCTTAAGCTAACTCTTAACCAACTGAGCCACACGGCCAGCCCCTCAAATAGGTTTTCAATTAGTTTCTCCCTCTCTCTACTCCTTCTGATACCTTTATGATGTGAATGTTGGTATGTTTCATGTACCAGAGACCCTTTAAACTATCCTCATTATTTTTATTCTTTTTTTCATTCTGCTGTTCTCATTGTGTGTTTTCTGCTACCTTATATTCCAAATCGCTGGTTCCACCCTCTGCTTCCTCTAATCTACTGTTTATTCCCTGTATTTTATTCATCATTTCAGTTATTGGATTACTTATTTCTGCCTGGTTCTTTTTTATCTCTATTTTTATGTTTCCTATGTCTTTGTTGAAGTTTTCCCCGAGATCATTGAGCATGCTTATAGCCA